TCAACTTCGGTCTAGTCAGCTTCCCAACCTGAGGCAGGACAGATGGTACCTTCATCACTCCTGAGAGGAGTTGGCCTGACTCCTTCCTGAAGGCAGATGACCCTCCTGTCCATCATGAGAGCAGCGCACAGGTAGGATTTATCTGGCAGCATTCCTCGAGGGTGCATATTCAGCTATCCCAAAGCACCTTTATCCACATCCAATCCCCATGGCAACGTGCGGCACCTTATTTCTGCCGCTTCCTCTCCTGTCCAGAGGAATTCATTTCTGATCCACATCCACCACCAAGAAGGACATAGAAATAGTGGAGGCATTTCAAAAGGGAGCTGCAAGCAGAAGCCACAGCTAGACTGCATGACTTATGCTGTGAGATTTAAGAGGGAAAAAATATTTATCATGACAGAGGGGAGATAGTGAGAGGATTTGATCACTCTGTACTGACACACATACACAGAAAAGTCATCTGCTGGCAGGAGGCACTTAGATCTTTGACAGGGGTGGAGCAAAAGCAACAACTTTCATCTTGAAATCAAAGATTTCAAACCATCTCAGCAGAGAGGGTTACAGGACAGAAGAATAGCTTAGCAGGGGAAATGGTGGACTTATCACCACCTCCTGAAGCCTGTAACATGAGATAATAGAGCCTGTTGAAGGACACTTTTAATCCAGTTTCTGTGAAAAATGCTAGTACTCGTATGTGACATTAAGGCAGGCAGGGCAGAACAGGGACAGGTTGGCTGCAGTGGTACAATGAAGGCTCTGCAGGCAAACCTTGGGGTCTCCCAGCACTCGTTCGCTTCTCCACTGGACACTGGAAGGACACATAATATCCATACTGGTAAGAGAACAAAGGAATTGAGATCAAGCTTCAGGGTTTCACCAGGAGCTGTGCCAGGGTCAGGAAGGAAACATGCCTTGCACCACACAACTGCTCTGCGTTGTAATTCACCTTCCCTCAATGTATGGGGGGGTGGCCAGGCTTGGAGCAAGACTGGGTCACCCTTTCTGTGAGGTAACACCAAGCAACCTGTTTCTAAGCTGATCTCCTCCTGTGTTTGACTCAAAATCAAATTGGTGTTGGAAGATTCCCCCCCCCCCCCCGGGGAAACCGCCGAGTGGGAGG